CTATTTTATCTGACATAAGTATAGCTACACCTGCTCTTTCTTGATTTCCATTTGCATGAAATGTAAATTTCATCTCTTCCCTTTCAATAAATGTGTGTCTCTATAGATCAACTGAGTCTTGTAGGAAGGATATAGTCGAGTCTTGTTTCTTTATCCATTCAGCCACTCAATGTCTTTAATTGGAGAATGTACTCCATTTACATTGAATGTTATTATTGATAGGTAAAGCCTTACCACTGCCATTTTGTTACTTCTTTACCAGTTGTGGTGTAACTCCTCTCTTCTTTTCTCACTGTCTTTCTTTATATTGAAGTTATTTTTTAATTTATAGCTTTTTATTTATCTATTATATGTTTTTGCATTTTGATTAGCATGAAGCTTATATAAACATCTGATAGTTACAACCTGCAGTTAAAAAGTTTTATTTGAACTTAGCTTTGATAACAATAAAAGAAACAAAGAGAAAACAAAATAAAATAAAAATGTGTACAGACTACCTTCTGCCCCATACCTGTTGAATTTCTGATGTCATAATGTAAAATTTTTTACTGACTATATCTTAAATTGCTGTAGTTATTGTTCTTAATTTGTCTTATTTTCTCTTTCAGTCTTCTTAATAAATGTAGAAGTGGGTCAAACACCACAATCACAATATTAGTATAACAATCATGTTAGCATTCTTTCCTTTGGGTTTGAAGAATTTTCTTCAGCAGAATACTCATTTTTCTTAAATGAACATGGATTATTCTTCAGAATAGATCACATGTTAGATCACAAAACAAGTCTTAATAAATTTGAGAAAAATGGAAATATATCAAGTAATTTTTAATACCACAGTGGAATGAAACTAGAACTCAGTAACAGCAAGGAAATGGAAAAATTTATAATTACATGGAAACTAAAAAACACGCTATAACTATTGGGTCAGAAAGGAAATTAAAAAGAAATCTAAAAAATATGTTGAGACAAATAAAAACAAAACTAAAACATGCCAACACTATAGGAAGCAACAAAAGCAGTACTAAAAGAAAAGTTCATGACAGTAAATGCCTACATTTCAAGAAAGACAGGTCTCAGATACAAAAGCCTAACTATATACCTCAAGGGACAAGCAAAAGAAGAACAAACTAAACCCAGAGTTAACATGAAAATAAAATAATAAAGATTAGGGCAGAAATAAATCAAACAGAGAATTGAAAAACAATAGAAAAATTAACAAATCTAAAAGTTATTCCTGTGAAAAAAATAAATAAAATGGACAATCCCTTAGCTAGACTAAGAAATAAAAAGAAGATCAAGACTCAAATAAATTGAGAAATGAAGGAGACATTGCAACAGATGTCTAAGAAATAAAAAGGATCATAGGGATTTCCATGAACGCTTAAATGCCAAAAATTATATTTGTATAAACTAGAAAAAATGGATTAATTTCTAGAATTATACAGCCTACCAAAGCTAATCAAGAAGAAATAGAAAACTTGAACATACAATAAAAATCAGTAGATTGACTCAGTATCAAAATCCTTCCAACAAAGAAAAGCCCAGGATCAGATGGCTTTATGAATGAATTCCAGCAAACATTCTTATATTTGCTGTAAACTTTTTAATTTTATTATTTTTTAAATGTAAAAGTTACCACAGGCTGAGTGTGGTGTCTCTTGCCTGTAATCCAGTGCTTTGAGAGGCTGAGGCACGAGGATCACTTGATGCCAGGAGTCTGAGAACTAGGCAATATAATGATATCCCATTTCTAAATTGTTTTTAAGTTAGCTGAGTATGGTGGCACACACCTGTAGTCCTAGTTATTCAGAAGGTCAAAACAGGAGGATAGCTTGAGCCCAGGAGGTTGAGGCTGTAGTGAGCTATGATTGCTTCACTGCACTCCAGTCAGGGAAACAGAGCAAGATTTTGTCCCCCCAAATTATTTCAAGTTATGACAAATGGGAAATTTAAAATACAAATAAAAAATTGAGTATCAGGAGCATTTTTCAGGTTTATTAAGATATGAATGCAGGAAGCTTATTTTTGGCCAAGTATGGAAAAATTAACTTGGAGGAGAATTGGCAGAATTTGTGAAGAGAGAAATGCAAAATTTAAAAAAAATAGAATAAAGTGCCTAGGGTTGTGGCAGGAAAACAAGTATGGAGATAACCCCAGATTGGGCTCATGAAACTTGGAGCACTAAAGTGGTCTCCTGGCCTTCTAGAGAGGTTTCTATTGTCTAATGAGTTTTGATTTTCCATTTCTGAATCCCAGAGGACAAAAACTGGCCAAAATTGAGTTTTTTAGTTCAGAGAGAAAAAAAAAAAAAGCACAGCTTATAACATTGAACAAGGTTCTTACTATAGAGAGCTGTATAGTTTCCTGGAATCCAAGACAGTGCTTTTAGCTAGAGCTTGTTCAGGCTTTGTAACCATGGTTTTCCAAGGCTCAATGGTATAAAAATAGAATATTCATTTAAAAAATAAAACATGACAAATAAGCCACTGCTATTTCTACTTGCAGTGAAAACTGCCTCAAGACTCCCAAAGCACAAGTCCATGTAATCTGGTAAATGTGCCCTACACATAACGAGGTCCCCTGTTACTGGCTGTCTGCCTCCTCCTGCTCCCAGGGTGACTCTCAAGAGTGCTCAGTGAATGGCACTGAGAAACCCTGAAACCCTGAAAGCTACCCATCAGAGAGCCTTTCTTTGGCATCAAAAGGTTCTCCTCAAGCTGGAGGAAATATCCAGTATCCGAAGAGCTCCCTATAACTTTCTTTTGACCTCCATCCCTAGACTGGTCCTATGGCAGATGGAAGGACTATATTCAGGTGCCTTTTCTTCATGATCTTGATTGGTGAATATTTGTGATCAAGGATTCACATCTCTGACCTCTACCTCAATTTATCTGTTGAGCCACAGATTTGCAGAAAGAGAAGTAAGTGATTTGGAAAGAGACTTCAATGGTTAGCAGAGGGAGCCATATAAAAAATAAAATAATGCATGAGTTTTTTTTTTTTTATCATTGCTAAAGGGCAAATTATATTAAGCTGGAAAGAATCCTGATGTCTAGGAATATTTGGGTTTTCCTTGATTTATTACTTTTGAAGATCTCCTGTTAATCCTAAGGAACTGGAATTTCTCATGATTAAAGAATACCTTGATTAACATGATAATAAGAAATGTGGCTCTGCCACTTATCAGCTATGCATGCTCCCTTGTCTGTCTTCTTATCTTCAGACAATCCATAGTCCACAGAGACACAGTTTAGAAAGCTTCATAAAGAGTGTTTACAGTTACTTACCATGCTGCACACATCACAAACAACTTTTCCTGTCAAGAAATGGTCCCTGATGTCTAACACAAAATTTATTTTTTGCAACCTCATCTGATTTTCTTTCATATCATGCACTAAGGAGTTTAAGCACAACCATGCACCAATTTCTTATACTTTCTTGTACATTTTCTTATGAAAAGGGGTATATTTCTGAAAATAGATAAATTGAACTTAATTTTAAAAGCACTAAAGAAGCTTACCTTTGAAATTTACCCAATAGTAAATCATTTTGTGATGTGATTCATTTGCTTTACTTCCAACAAATTGTACTTTTGAAGCAATTCCATCATTATATTTCTGAATTTATCTTTTATACAATGACCCTATTATGTTATTATACAGTGATTACTGATAAGGTAAGGCTACTGGAAAAGTTGCACTACCAGTACATTTTTCAATTACTTGTTAATAATGTCATATTTTCTCATAGTGTTATAATTTCAGTGTTAAAATTTAGGCCAATTATTTAGTTGTTTGTTGTATCATACACCTAGACATCATAAAAGATCAAAGATTAGAAACATTTATGCCTTCTCTTTGAAGAAAATATCATCATAATGCTCCAATATTCTACTTTGTAACGGACAATTTGTGTGAAGGAGCAATGACTTGTAATGATTCTACCAGCAGATATGTGTGCCCTACAGTGGAGTGGCCAACCTGGGATCATAAAAGGTGGTGATACACGGTCCCTGTTTAGCTGTGGAGGAGACAGTTTTATAATGCAGTTCTGTGTAGTAGAAGGAAAAATGGACATATAGTCAAAAGATATGAATTCCAGTCTTGGTTTAGTCCTTTGACACATGTCTATCTAAAAATAATTCCCTAATCAGAGCTGTTCTTCAGTTTTTGCGTCTAGAGAGAAACAGTTCATCTTTGTCCTCCCCGCTCTGTTGGATGGTAATGAAATTAAATAATGTATGCAAAAATATTTTGTAATCACAATTTCACTGTAAGGTGCTTACAATACAAAAATTAAAAAAAAAAAAACAGTAAACAGTTCTGTGCTACCCACATGTGCAGGGATATATAGGACACAAGAAAAGATAAAAAGATTTTCTAGAGGACATGAGTTTTATTTGGCTTTGAAGAATGAGTGGTGTCTAGGGAAGAGGAGTGTAGAACAGAGTTGAGAGGAGCAAGATCATCAGAGTGAAAATAATGGAATGAAAACCCAGTGTGGAAATTACAGTAACACAGCCTCTGTTCAAACTATAGAAGCTCAAAAATCATCAGGTAGCTATGGAGCCTGGAGTTCTGCATGATGCCATTGAACTTGAATTTATTCAATGTTGTTTTTAAAATTCAAATATGATTATTATAATTAGTATGCAATTTCTCCATCCACAATTCTATGATGTTATCACCACTACATCCATAAAGAGGAGGAAACTGGTCTTAGAAATGATAAGTTCTTGCCCAAGATAAGTTAGCATATGCTAGAACTAGGAAATTAGTTTACAACATTTGACTTTAAAAGTCATGTACTTTCTTCTGAATGAGAAAAGAATGTTTCTCCACTCTCTACTCCTAAAATAAATAAGCATGAATGTGAATACAAAAAAGCAGAGACCTAAGATATATTAATCACAGGAGTTTTCCCAGCTTACTATTTGACAGAAATCAACCATCTAGATTCCTTACATTTTTCTGTCTTTCTTAGATATCATGTGTGATTTAATGAAGAAAGAGAATCACTCTTTGGTGAGCATGTTTATTTTTCAAGGTTTCTCCAGCTTCCATGAGCACAAGCTCACCCTCTTTGTTGTGTTTCTTACACTGTACATATTCACCCTGGCAGGCAATGTTATCATTGTGAGTATCATTAGTATTGATCATCACCTCCACACCCCCATGTACTTCTTCCTCAGCACGCTGTCAGGTTCAGAGACTGCCTACACCCTTGTCATTATACCAAGGATGCTCTTTAACCTCATAGGCCTGAGTCAGCCCATTTCTTTGGCAGGTTGTGCCACTCAGATGTTTTTCTTCATTACTTTGGCTATCAACAACTGCTTCCTGCTCACAGCAATGGGGTATGACCGCTATGTGGCCATCTGCAACCCCTTGAGGTACTCAGTCATCATGAGCAAGAGAGTGTGTATGCAGCTGGTGTGGGGGGCCTGCAGCATTGGCCTAATTGTAGCAATGACACAGGTGTCAGCTGTATTCAGGCTGCCTTTCTGTACTACAAAGGTGCCCCACTTCTTCTGTGACATCCGACCTGTGATGAAGCTCTCCTGCATTGACACCACAGTCAATGAAATCCTGACGATGATCATCAGTGTGCTGGTGATCCTGATTCCCATGGGCTTGGTTTTTATCTCCTACATCCTCATCATTTCTGCCATCCTCAAGATCGCCTCTGCTGAAGGCAGGAAAAAGGCCTTTGCCACCTGTGCTTCTCATATTACTGTGGTCATTGTCCACTATGGCTGTGCCTCCATTGCCTACCTCAAACCCAAGTCAGAGAATAACCTAGATCAGGATCAGCTGATCTCAGTGACCTACACTGTCATTACCCCCCTACTGAACCCTGTGGTATACAGTCTGAGGAACAAAGAGGTCAAAGACGCTCTGTGCAGAGCTATAGGCAAAAAAACTGTAACAGAATAGGCCCATTTCAAAGAGCATCTTAGAATATTTTCTAGAGAGGAAAAAGTGGAACAGTGTGCATGGTCAATAGAGTTAAAACTTTGAAGGCTATCAAGCAATGGTTGGGAAAGAGGAGGAGAAAACAAAGGGATTTAGCCACTTGAGAAGAGGGGAAGGTTCTCCAAAGTACAGCAAGCCTCCATCTCAAAAGACAACAGGGATATTATGGGGTATAAATACAGAAGAACTCAGTGGTGTTGGAAAGTAGATGGGTTGTGTGCGCAGCCTGGGACAGAATGAAATCAGGAGAGCAGTCAGAGTTAATGAGGGGTGGCTGCTCCAGGGTAAGGTTAAAGCTTTAAATATATTCTATAACATTCTCTTTTGGATGTGTTTCCCCTTACTCATTTAGAGCTAAGCAGATTTAACACCTAATTGAATTCATTCTTTTATGGGAAATTTAAGGTTTTTAAAAAATCAATTTTGACACTATAAATAAAATGAGTATCAGAGATTATATTCTATATAATTCTATAACATTCTATAACATTCTCTTTTGGATGTGGTGTTTCCCCTTACCCATTTAGAGCTAAGCAGATTTTACACCTAATTGAATTCATTCTTTTATGGGAAATTTAAGGTTTCTAAAAAATCAATTTTGACACTATAAATAAAATGAGTATCAGAGATTATAAGCATCTACAAAATTTAGCAGCCCTTGAAGTCTGGGTCTTTCTCATATAAGTTCCAAGTTGACCATATGAGAAAATGGAAATCTAAGTTTTCAGGATACTGTTTTAGAAATATTTTTGGAAAGTAGCTAAAACCCCTTGGTGATCTAGTTAAAGAAAGAGGCAGCACCAAATACTCATATTGGCATTTATTTTATGAGAATATACAAAGGTTGTTGGTGATGTTGTATGTGGGTGTCTGAACCCAGGGTAAAGAAATTAAAATTTGCCTTTAGAAATCCTCACAGAACAGAAAGGAGGAACTAGTGGATGAGTCAAAGAGGGAATCTAGAGCATGGATTAATGTAATGCAAAGATTGGGAGGATTAAATGGGTAAGGAAAATGTAGCCATCTGGTAACTCAGTAACTCAACAAAAGAAAAAGACTCATCAAACCATCAATCCTACCATTTAAAATCCTCTAGGATGTGTACTAATACACCATCCTTCACCAGCCATCTCCATTTCCAGCAACTCCTTTCCCTACATTCTGTTATCCACATCCACATAGCCCACAATCCAACAATACCTAGTGACCAATGGTTTCCCATTTTATTATAATGCCTTCATACAGCTTGTTGTTAATGAAAATCTCTTACTGATACCCTCACTGGGCACTCCTCAGGGCATTCTCTGGCTCACTTTGAAACAACAACCTGAATACCTCTATTTTTATGAACCCTCTAATGAGATACCCACAAAGAAAGAAGGCCACTCCTTCTACTCCTTCATTTCATAACCTCCAAACACATATTGATATAAATGACCATAATGAACATTTTCCATGATGTCTTTATGGAGGAAAGCATGAAATGGGTAGTGTGTGATGTTGTAACTGGGTGAAGTCTTACCTAGGTGGACAGTTACACTCACTGTTTAATGTCTCGTTTGTACCAAATGATGAGTTTTTCACAGGATACATTCTCCTTTATGTTAACTTCAAAACTTAGGGCTGTGTTCAAATATCTTAATTTCTCAAATAGCCCATTATGGCTTAGTCTTACAAAGATTCAACGACATTTTTGAGAAAATTTATGGTGAAATGCATGAGAATCCAAAAAAAAGTTACCCTGTAATTGCCAATGGTCACTTTTACTTTTATTTAGTAAATAAAAAATATCTCATTTTTATTTCAAACTGTAGCCTCAAAAATGCTGCCCTACACCTTCAACCTTCTCAGTAATAGATAATATATATTTGTAAACTTAGCTACTTAAAATATTAGGCAGAAGTTTTGAGAGATTAGCAGAATGAAGCGGAAAGAATATCACCATTTGAAGAAAAATACTCTATTTTCAGGCCTGGCTCTATGTTGTATATGCCATACTGTATATATTTGAATGAACTATTCAATTTCCTCAGCTTTCTCACCTATAAAACTTATATTAAAAGTTTGTTGTCAAACATATGAAATAAGTATAAAAAGCCTTTAAAAATGATGAAACAAGCCCAGATCTTTTTTATTCTTGTTAAATAGCTATACTACCCATAAAGTGAACCTTTCCTTATCTGCAAAATGGAGTTACCAATCTTTACTCATCTTTACTCTGTTTTTTTCAGTCAGGTTATTGTAAGAATCAACAATGCTAGAATAGCCACAGTAGAAATTGCTGTGATAACCACAAAAGGTGTTAAGAACTATCATGTATTATCATCATTATCATCACTGTTATTAGCTAAGATAGTCCAGATATTTTTACCTCTCTAATTTTTCTTGGCCATTTAATAATATTTTACCAATTGATTTTTGACTCCTACCTTCCTCTCACATACCTCTAACTTCTAATTGCTATTGCATCTTTCATTAAGACTGCAGGTCATATTATTTTGGTTCCTTAAAAAAGAACATTTCCAAAACTTTGCATTACTATCTTTTGTTAGCAATTCCAGAAGTTAATGCCTATCCTCCTGCTCCAAATTCAGCATCTTTTTTTCCCTACTAGATCAGTGAATGCTAATCTCTTTATCATGAGCCATGGCCTTCAGTACAAAAATGCATGTTATTACATAACCCAGTATGTGTGTATACACACATATACAAACTAAAATGCAACGTTCACAAAACAGTACTTAGCTTTACTGCATGCAATGCATTCTGATGTTTCTCATTCTAGTCTATTCCATTCAATCGTTTTTATTTTTGTAATAATGTTAATGAATAGAAGCACATCTAATATACATTTTGACCAAATGCTCAATGGTTGAGAGGTAAAAATCTGTGCTCAGCTAAAGTCAATGCTGAAGCCCAATATCAGCAGACTGTTTTCCTATACTACTAAAATAAAATTGAAATCTTATTTTAAAACAATAAAATGTAATTATTAAACAATTAGTAATCAAGTTCAAACATTTTAATTCTTAGAGGAAGAACATTTAGTCTTCATTGTCAGTTTCTAGAGTCTTCTAGCAGTCATTAAAACACATATTCATTATACAAGGTACATGTTCACGTTTCAACTGAGAAACTGAGATTGGTAGAGCAGCAAAATATCTTGTGGGGGGGAAAGTACCTTATTTTTCTCTAACTTTTTTGTCTTTATATTTTTTGTTAGCTATGAATTACACATATTTATCTTGGATATTATCCTTTATGATTTTGGTTGCAAAATTAGAATCCTGTTGTAAATTCATCTAGAAAAGTTATAAAAATTCACGACTTAAGTGGAATTAAGAAGCTAAAAATTAATACAGTGCTTAAAGCTAGTTTGATATTGCCAAACAATTTTAATTTTATAAATATTTATTTATTCTACAAGGATATAATATGCTTTCTAAAGCTATCGAATCACCAATGCACTATCTCTTATATTTATGTGAAGTATTCATTTCTTTTCCCATTTGTTTTACTACGTAAAACTCTTAAGATTGTCCAGAAAATTAACAACTCACAATAAATAAATTTATTATTGCATTTTGCTCTTTCAATAATAAATATAATGTATATTTTAATTGACTGTTAGAATTTCAACAAATACAGCATATAAAGCTAATTAAGTGAAAGAATGGCTAACTATATTTGACAACGCATATTCAAATTTTTAAAAATCCAAATGACCCACTTTATTCAGATTACTGATGCTGTTATATTGATTAGAGCTAATAACCTATGCTATCACGTGATCTTTTTTTTTCATCTCAAAATTTAGGGATTCCAAAATATGGCACAGTAGAAGGTTTTCGGCAATTGAGTTTAAAGGGTGAAGCCAATGTAGCAACCAAATAGCAGATCTTCTCTAAGTACCAAAAGCAAATTACACTGATGTGTCCCAAGCATGACCCACTACCTTTAAGGAAAACAAAGCATATGGACGCCATAAGAGAATGTTCCACATGAGGGATTCACCGAGTTGGCTGAAATGGTAGGCAAGCATCTGAGAAGTATTTCTCCTCTTCTCTTTATTCTTTTATTCTGAAATGATGGTACAATAATCAGTATTTTTCCGATTCAAAAGCAATACATTCTCTGTGAAAAAACTCAGACAACTGTAAGGAAGTAAATGCAACCTCTGGGCTTTGGATGTTTACTATGGCACACTGAGTACAGATATCATTTCTCCTCTCTATACTCCCCAGTGCTGCCCCACCAAACCCTAGAAGTGATAGGAAAGATTTAAGTAGGATTTGGGCCAGAGCTTAAAAACAAAAATGGAATTCTTCACGAACCAGCAACTATGAGGTATGAAATGAAGTCTCAAAACGAACGCAGTTAGGTTGATGAGCTATCTCAGAAGTATATGAGAGTTAAAAGTGGAGTCCAGTAACAAAAGTTAAGAGCAACACACAAGTTATTTCATATCCTGAGGTGGAGAAAAATAAAAAATAATTTACAACTCCAGGGGATATTAACAGGGGTTGTTAGCCCTGAGAAAATAGTCCTCTCCATCACTTCTTGCTTCCAGACAAGCAGAAATAGACGGTGTCGGTGGTTTCCAGTTGAGAACTATGTTTGAAGAGAGGGGCATGGCAGGGCACAAGAGTTTGGCCATAACAAAGATGCAGGGGGAAAATAACAGGACAAAAGTACAGGAGAAAACAACCAGATACTAGAAGTATTGAGCTAAAAAGTATTAATATTTTATTTTTTTGTGAAAGTATTTGTTATAAGAAAAGTAAACTCAAGCTTCTCATTCAGCATAAAGCTACACATACTGGATAATACTAACCATTATTTAGGACAAACAAATTAAAGTTACAGGAATTATGTCCAATGTAATTTAAAGGCAGTGAGAATTCTGATTAAACACAGATGTTACATGCCCATTATTTGCTTCTTTTTCTTAAAAACCCTATTAAGTTTGAGTTAAGAAGGAAAATAGACTCACCTTCATAGCAAAAGAGAATAGAAGTTGAAAGCAAATGGAGCTCAACAAAATTTTGAAATCTGGAAAGCCCATTAATAAATCATTATTGACTCAGCACATAGGAGAATGCTGATTAAAGCCTGAGGCAGAGAAAACAACAAAAATGCCAATTTATCGCCCAGAAGGCCAGAAGTATTCAAAAGCAGAAAGTAGTAAGGATCTCTGAACATAAGACTGTACAATTGGTCTAACAAGCTAGAGTTGCTTCAAAGTTTTTAAGACGTCGCACAATCAGAACCTCACCCCAACTTCAGAAGGCTGGAGA